GCCCCCGAGGAGCTGCCGTCTGTGCCCAAGGGCCACGAACCGTCGTGTCACCGTCTCGAGAGGCGGCGGCCGAGGATCGCTCGCTGTTTGGCAGGGGCCAGCAGTTCCGACCAAGGGGCTGTGGATTTATTAACGGGAAGTGGGGTTTACTACTCCTCTTTTTTACGGCCTGTGAATGCTTGTCAGCCGTCCACAATGTCTTCTGCAGTGATTAAGGCAACTTTTTTTACAGTCATACGTTTTAAACAATATCTTGGCTCTCTTCTCCCCCTGGAGCCCCGTTTAATAAAGTGTAAACGTGCAGGAGGTCAGCCCTTCCTGCCCAGCCGAGCATCCCGGCTTGATCTACGGCTTCCTCCTGCCGCCCGCCCGCTCCGCTCGCTGCGGCTGCTCCGGCGCAGGGGCTGCCGCTCAGCTTTACCAGCCCTGTTTTACCTGGTTTCTCTTAGCCCAGTAGCTTCTCCCTACCCTGGCCAGATGCAGTGAGTCCGTTTTACCGTGGGGATAAGAGCAGACATCAGCAGCAGACCCCGGCAGCCTGCCCTGGCTGAGACGTGTCTCGTGCACCCAGTCCTGTTCTTCCGTGGGGTCTGGTGACGCGCGGTCTTTCCTTGTCCTGGCAGATGTCGGCCATCGAAACGATGACGGAGAAACTGGAGAGCTTCGCAGCCATGAAGGCCGACACGGGCACGTCCCTGCAGCCGCTCCCGCATCACCCCTTCAACTTCCGATCGCCGCCGCCGACGCTGTCCGACCCCATCCTGCGCAAGGGCAAGGAGCGCTACACGTGCAGGTAGGGCCGGCCACGGAGCGGGCCTGGGAAGCGGCCCCGGACACGAGCGCGCGTGGGGCGCAGGGGGAAACAAGGAGCAGGAGGATTAGAGCAGAGCTTGCTGATGACTAATTCGCTCGGAAATAGCTTGTTTTGTCTGGGGGGAAATCAACATCTTCTATTTTCTTTGTATTTTTTAATAGCCTTGGGAGCAGATCTGGAGATTCTCAAGCAAAGCGGTCTTTCAAGCCAAGCCTTGTGTGTGTGGTAGCAAAGGCCACGGTTTCCAGTGCAAGTGCATTGCGGTCCCAGCTGTGCAGAACAGCGGGCTTTAAAAGCAGCTTCCAGTGTTTCAGACACGGTTGTCTCCACAGAAATACCCGTGTATCCACTGCAGCTGTGAAACTCCATATCAGGGCGTATCGCCCAGAGAGTTAAAACCTGTATCTGCTCAGGAAGTTTTACCTCCAAATTCGTATTTCTTGTGGAACAGAGCTCCCCCTAATTCTGCATTCTGCTGATATATTTTCTCATTCTAAGCATGGCCAGACTCAAGGCAGCACATCCTGATAACAGCAGTGCAGTCCTGCAGCATTTGTCCAGAAGAAAACGCTGCAAATTGTATTCAGGATGATCAAGTCGCTTATGGATGATAAGTGACTGGCTAGGAATATAAGAGGTCTATAAACATCTCGAGAGGGAGAGCATGAACAGGCAGTGATTAGACACTATTCATCCTGATGCAGGAATAAGGTGCATTCAAAAGGCACCTAGAAAAATAGATGGAAGCAACTTAGCCGAAGGATACTGAGCACATAGATTCATCATTAGTCCCAGGAGGATCTTAACTTCATTTTACTGAAAACTGGGAGATATATTGGGGATGCATCACTGCACTCTTACCACCTTCCCCTGTACTTCTTATGCCTGCAGGATAAGCTACTAAGTCAGACAGACTTTTGGTATGAGCCACCCGTTCTGGTGCTGGGTGTTTCCTTTTCCACGTGTCCCAAGGTTGGAGCACGCAGGGATGCCCCAGGGGCTCCCGGCACGCCGGGAGGGATGGAGCTCTGTCACTTCCTACCTGCACAGCTGCCCTCCCGCGCCTCCGTGCCTGCTGTGGCACCGGGTGCTTTGCTAATTTTGCCCGTGGCATCCAGATGGGTGAGAGGGGCTAGAGGGGACCACGCCGTGCGTGGCAGCAGCTCCGCGCGCTCACGGCTCCGTTGCCTCTCGCCATCCAGGTACTGCGGAAAGATCTTCCCGCGCTCGGCCAATCTGACCCGGCACCTGCGGACACACACTGGAGAGCAGCCCTACAGGTGAGGTTGGCCCAGCAACGCCCCTGCCCCGGCGCCCTGCTCACTAGGTTATTTTTTTGCTCTCTGTAAAGTTGTGCCAACAAAGTGCTGCAATCCTGCAGCATTACATGTAATGATTCATAGGATTGTATATTATGTGTACCAGCCAAAAATAATCAGACTTGGCAGCTTCCAGATAGACACTTAACTTATATTTAGATGTATGCTGGCGAATGAGTGGTCTGATTTTCAGTGTTGTTTAACACTCACATTAACCATTCATCTCAAGGACAGCTGAAGGTGCTGAATGTCTCTGAAAATGGGGCTGTTTTGAAGGGCTTGCCAGCGAATTAACTGCTGCGTCTACTTGGATCCTTTTTTCCTTTCCTAATGCACAGCAGAAGCCTCTGCAGTAATGGATCAAAGAAACCCCATTGTGCATCGGTTTTAAAATCTGGACTGGGGAGTGCATCGTGTGGCAGAGTTTAGAAAGGGGGTCGGAGGGTGGGGAATCAGCTCAGATGCCAAAGCTCAGGGCCCGTCCTGCTGCTTTCTGCAATCATGGGAAGGAAGAGGTCGGATTTGGGGGTTTCAGTGGTGCTCATGTGGATACGGAAGGGCTCCAGGGCCGCTCGTCCCTCCCTCCGGACAAACCCCGTGTGCAGCCGCCAATGGATCCCCATAAAGGGGCTCCTGTAAAAGCGACTGCTTTAAATTGCCGTAAAACTCATGAGAAAATATAGCCGGGTAGGTAGGTATATACAGAGAAACATTTTTCATTGAAGACAAAATGGGTATTTTGGAGTCGAATATTTTTTCTTTTTGGTTTGCAGTCAGCTTCAAAAAACTTCAGCAAAAATGCTTTGACTGATTTCTTTCTACAATAGGTACCTACGTAAGACAAATCGAATGAATGATGTATTGAGAGCTCACTAAAAATCAGGCACGGTGTTTTCCATAATATGGAGGAGTGTTTTGTACATTGTCAAACAATAGTAGCAAGACGAGTAATCGCATTTTTGGTAGCTAGTATTATGGTATTTCCTTACACAGACATAAGCTCACAACAAAGCTAATATGTAATAGTTATTATATAAAAAGAAACACAAACAAATTTATGAACAGCAAAAGGCCAGCTGGTCAAATCTATGGAATTTTTATGCTCAGTTTAAATTAAGAAACTACTTTCTCCCACATTTTAATCCCTGGTACATAAAGTCATGTTTCTTCTTTTTCTTTTTTTTCTTTTCTTTTTTTTTTCCCATACAGAGTCAAATTCTGAGTGTAGACATTAGGTAAACTTAAAAAAAAACCTCTCCAAAACAGACATATATTTTGGAACCATTCCCCACTCTTCTAATTTTTCCCTTGCACTGTTTGATAGGACCTGAATGAATACTGTGCATTCACTATACACCCCTGTCTGACCATAACGCATGCTCCCGATTATTCAGAGGTTATTAGTCCAGTTTTCTTCCAAAAAAGGAGACCTGCAACTTAACAAAGGTTAGAAAAATAAAGATTTATTTGATCTGGTCTTCTCCCAGAAAACGGCCTGTGTGTTTTTTTTTGTAATAGAGGTTTGACTTCTGGACAATGTTGCATTATAATAGCACTCCTGAGAGTTAGTGCTACGTTTACAGAAGAGTTTAATTATCATTGATTTTCTTCTGCTCTTTGAGAACTGAGATTCCCAACTTTATCAGAAATAATTATTTTGAAAGCTTTTTTTGCAAGCGCTGACTTTATTCAGGTATAAGCAGATTGCTGATTTTTTGGTGTTTTATTGTTGTTATTTTTGTAATTTTTCCTTTGATTGTTTGAATATTTTTTTCTGTTGACTCTGTTAGTGTGAAAGTTCATTGAAAAATGAACTAAAAATATTCATAAACCTATATAAACAAATCCAGTGTCAACATGTAGGTGGAGACACATGCAGATGAGAAAATCAGGTGCTTTCCATCTGATTCCTAATTGTCACTCATTGGCAGGAATAAACAGCACATGAGCAGGGTGGAGGTTAATGAGTTCTTTTTGAGAAGGGCTGGGTGTTTTGGTGCCTGGGATGGACCTGGTGATGTGCTGCACCTCTTCTGAACAAACTGATTTGAACTGGCTTGAATGCAGCCTGTTATGGGGTGGAGTTAGGCAGGATTCTTTCTTTGCAGGGTTTTTTTTTTTTGCACTGGATCTATAATCCAACAGTATGTATTTCAAACCCCCTAGTAGCAAGGTCTATCAAACTTAACTGTTTCTATTTTTTTTCAGAGAAATGCAAAATCAGTCGGGCTTGTTGTGGAATAATGTCAGGCTACTTTTGACAGCTCACGCAGTAAAAAAAAATAGGACTTTTTTTCTATAAGCAAAATCCCAAAGAGGCAGTGGTTAATGAAGCTCCTTATGCTCGAAGCCATGAACATAAGGGTGTATTGTAGTTGTGGGTTTGATTTTTACTTTTGGTTTTCATTCTCTGGAACTACATAAAACCTGGGCTGAGAACAAGTGAAGGCTATTTGATTCAACCAGGCTTAATTTTCTTCTTTTAAATGCCCGTTCCCTCCAGGATGCCATCTAATTGATTCTTGAATTACACCCAATCCTGCAGCATTGCCTCTAAGGCTGCGATTCCATCTAGAAAGATGTGCTTCCTGACGTCTGTTTTGAATTTGTTTTTCTTTAATTTCCTTTTCAGCCCCCACGTCCTGTTATCTGCATTAAGCTGAAACTAACAGCTAGAATTGACATTTACCATGTCCTGCAAGATTGCCCAGGGAAAACCTCTTCTTTCTTGTTTTCTTTCTAAAACTGTGAGCTAAATTCGCGCCTGGTGTAGCTGTACTTGAGGTTAAGGAAACCCTTGAGGAGGAGTAGCCATCCGTGCATCGTGTGGTTTGTTGCTGCAGTTCTGTCTTTACAGCTCCCATTGCCTGATCCCCGAGGAGTGTAAACTTTGCTGGAATGATGTCACTACTGGGACTCGAACGAGGCTGTGGGACTTGGCTGTCACATTCGCAGTGTTACCAAACTGTCTTGTCTTATGGTGCTGAGCTCAGTTACGCGTTCTTTTTTTGTTTCCTCCTCTCTCTTTTTCCCTTTTGGTGCTGTATTAGATTGAGTATCCAAGCTCCCTCAAGGTCCCCGGGGAGCCTGCTGTGTCTCTGAGCTTCTTCTCCACGTTCCCTGGCCTGGGCTTGTTGTGCACTGTCATTCACTCCAGCTCTTTATGTTTTTAGCCTGTTGCTGTGTTACTCCAAACTGATGAGCAGCAAATTTCACCAGTGTTTGTCAGTGTGTTTACAAAGCAAACAGAGCTTCTTCTGTGTTTCACTTTCCTGCTGCCTCGTGTTCGCCTCTTCCCCGGTTTTAGAGTTGATTCCTCTGCCTAGGTCATATATTTAGATTAAAACCAGCAGAGATCCAAGTACTGACCCCTCTGGGACCACAAATAATACCGTACGGCTCCCTCATCCCCTTCCCTTCAGACATTAGATATTGCTCCTTCCGAATGCCCCTCTGTTTTCTATTTTTCTAATAAGCTCTTTATGCTTTCTCTGTATCTCAGCCTGGATCCACATAGCTCATAGCTCGAGCAAGGGCCTGTCAAGAGAAGCTTTTCAAAGACTTCCTGAGCGTCTAAATGAGCCGTCGTGCAGGAGCCGGGTCGCCCGCGCGCAGCCAGGCCCTCTTGGAGCCGCTGCCGGGCTGGGGGCCGCCGAGCGCCTCGGGATGGGGC